AAAAAGGGGCCACGGGGGGGGCACCCCTCACATCCCATTTTGGGCCTAGTTGGCATCCCTGCAGCCTCCTGGGAGCAAAAAGGGGCCACGGGGGGGGCACCCCTCACATCCCATTTTGGGCCTAGTTGGCATCCCTGCAGCCTCCTGGGAGCAAAAATCCGTTTTCGACCTCGCTGGGCTCTAGATGCTCCCTGGAGGGTGGAATAGGCCCATATTCACACTCCATAGGCCTCTGTGAGGCCTGTTTTTCAGCTCCCCAGTCTCCATGCACCCCTTGGGATCCACAACGGGCCGCATGGGGACTCCTGGGAGGGGAGGCGTGGAATGGAGCGAGGTCAGCTGGTCATCGGAACTACTGGTTCACCGAACCGGATGTAAAATTAACATCCTGTTCACCCAAACCAGCTGAATCCCACCTCTGGGCTTGTTGGAAAAGACACTGATATTGAGAAAGATGGAAAGCCAAAGAAGAAGGGGACGGCAGAGGATGAGATGGTTATATAGTGGTCACTGACGCAATGAACATGACTTTGGGCAAACTCTGGCAAACAGTGGAGGGCAGGGTGACCTGGCAAGCTAGGGCCCATGGGGTTGCAACGAATGGGGCACAGCTTAGCGACTGACCAACAACAACAAAAGGTCAGATTTTAGCATTTTTGCCTCGCATTTGGGGAGATTTCATGTGAGAACATTGAAAGCTTAAGAGTTTGTTTCAATTTTATTCAAGAATTTAATGCACGGGTGGGAGGGTTGCTGGGTTAGGTTTTTCAAACTTCTGCTTGTTGGTTCCATGTGCTGGTAATGTAAGCTCCATTGGGGTGGGGAACCAGCTTGGTTGAGAAATCTTTCACTTTACACCTTTGCTTGAGTTCAGGTAAGAATTGTGCTATGTATGACCCATTTATTACATTCTGAGATTTTCCTGCTAATATGATTTTAAACTTTGTTTGGATAAATGCTATTTTTAATAAATGTTTAGGCATGTCTAATCACGTTCCTTTTACTAACAGTTATGGGGAAGCTGAACTAAAATTGGTTTTCTTTCAGAGCTAATTTAAATAAGTTTGTACCATTGAGTTTACCATATGATTTACACCAGGGGTCTCCAAAGGTAGCAACTTTAAGACTTGTGGACTTCAATCAGCTGTCTTGAGAAATTCTGGGAGTTGCAGTCCACAAGTTTTAAAGTTGCCAACTTTGGAGACTCCTGGTTTACATTACGTTTTCCAATGCAGCCAGTCAGTGTTTAAGCCAGAAGTTTGATGTGTTTCTTCTGAATAAATCCACACATCAGCTGGCAGAAAACTTTTAAATGAAATAAGATTATAAAAGGCTGAACCTTTGAGGCAGAAGAGTTAATCTCCTTATGGGAACCAGGAACAAGAAAGATAAAATGACTGATTGTTGAAGCAGCAGTGTTAATTATTATTAAAATTAAATTAATAATAATTGCACTAAGCTATATACTTATTTCTGCAACATTATATTTGCTTATCTGCTAAAACCATGCTGGCTTGTAAATCAGTCTTGCGTGAATTATAGTAATAATTAGGTTGTCAGCCGGAGTGTTAGTAGTAGTTTTTATATAAATTGTTTTGCTATTTGATGTTAGAAAAGACTTTGAAAGGAAACGCTCATTGTAGGCTCCAATAGCTTTCCATCTGCATGTATTTCTTGCCTTTCAAAAGGAAGAAGCAGGCTTTATATCCTGAGTGGGCATTCATTACGACCTTCTTATTGCCAAATATTAGTTTTGAGATTAGTGTGTATTTGGAAAGGTTTCTCATTACTGCTTGGATAAGGCAGGTTTCCTTTGTGACTTACCCCAATGGTTCACTTAAAATGGGAACAGGAGATGGCTTGTTATTTAGGCTTTTTCAAAAGCCAATTTTTGAAAAAGCACCTTTGGGACTCCAGCCATGATCCTCACCTGTTTCCATCTCCTCTGCATGCAGCTGGAGGGGTTGGGAAACCCTTTGTGAAATTCTAGAGCCCAGGTGTCAAACTCGCTGTGTCATGTTGCCATCATGACATGATGTATTACGACAATTTTTTCCTTTCGCGGTGATGGGGTGGGCATGGCCTGCGCGTGACGCGTCTGGCCTACGGGCCGCCAGTTTGTCACCCTGCGTATACCATCTGAAGGCTGAGGCTTAGAAGGTTTGAAACAGGATCTGAAAGCTTGGGATGCTGGATTTGGAAGTTTTAGGGGAGATTCTGCTGCTTATCAATCATTTTCTGTCTTCTTTGAAATGTGTTCCTTCTTCCTGGTGCTGCAAAGGTGCAAATCTCTTCCTGACAAGGAGCAGGATGAAGATGCTCTTGAAGAACTCCAAAACATGATCAAAGAGAGACAGGATGTCTTTTTTGAAATGGAATCATATTTGCCAAAGAAGAACGGGTAAGGGGGTTGAATTAACACGGAAATAAGGATTCTGTTCTTAATAGTTTGCTTGATTATTTATTTGGCTTATATAGTCACCTATATTTCGTACGCGACTCTAAGCAGCTTACAATGAAATAGATAAAACATAGCTAGTCCTCGATTTAGTTTGGGAATAGTTTGTTTAGTGACCGTTCAAAGTAACAGGTAAAGGTAAAGGTTCCCCTCGCACATATGTGCTAGTCGTTCCCAAATCAAGGGAGCAGTGCTCATCCGCGTTTCAAAGCTGAAGAGCCAGCGCTGTCCAAAGACGTCTCCGTGGTCATGTGGCTGGCATGACTAAACCCCAAAGGTACATGGAGCCTTCCCCCCAAAGTGGTCCTTATTTTTCTACTTGCATTCTTTACGTGTTTTTGAACTGCTAGGCTGGCAGAAGCTGGGACAAGTAATGGGAGCTCACGCCATTATGTGGCACTAGGGAGTCAAGCCGCTGAACTGCTGACCTTTCTGATCAAGAAGCTCAGCATCTTAGCCACTGAGCCACCACATCCCGCAAAGTAACAACAGCACCAGAAAAAAAGTGACTTACAATCAATCTTCACACTTATGACCATTGCAGAATCCCTATGGTCACGTAATCAAAATTCAGACGCTGGGCAACTGACTCATATTCATGACGGTTGCGTTGAGAAAATTGTTAGGTGAGTTTTGCAGTGAGAATCACTGCAGTTGTTAAATTAGTAACATGGATGCTAAGTGAATCTGGTTTCCCCATTGACTTTGCTGGTCAGGAGTTTGCACAAGGCAATCACATGTCCGTGGGACATTGCAACCATCATAAATATGAGTCAGGTGTCAAGCATTGGAATGTAAATCACATGACTGTGGGGATGCTGCAATGGTCATACGTGAAAAATGGTCATAACTCACCTTTTTCAGTGCCATTATAACTACGCGAACTGTGGTAAATAAAGGACTACCTGTAGAAGATCACACTTCCATTCTATTGTAGATCTCCCATCCACCCCGTTTCTCAGCTATTTGTTTTCTTAATTTTAATGAGTTTATTGTCTTACTGTTTTTATACTATAATCTTATCTGATAGTAAGCCACCCAGAGCCACATCACAGAGAGATTGGGCAGCAAATAAGTGTAATAAAATATAAGGAGAGATTCCATTTAGCTCAGTGTTTCTCAACCTTGTCAACTTGAAGATGTCTGGACTTCAACTCCCAGAATTCCCCAACTGGGGAATTCTGGGAGTTGAAGTCCAGACAACTTCAAGTTGACAAGGTTGAGAAACACTGATTTAGCTACTTAGATGGCTGTTCAAACATAGGCAGACCTAGAAGACTTATAATAGCTTTATTGTCACTTTGAATGTACACTTCTTGGCATACGTTAAAATTAAAATATTAAAATTAAAATATTTCATTTGACAGATTTCCAGTGTGATTCTATAGCTAAAGGTGTTTGTAATTAGTATGGTGCCACCAGCTCTTGGTAACTCTGGGAACAGCTGTCAGTTGTGTGCTAATTACAGTTAATTATAGCAAAATCACATGTTATACACCCTCTTAATGCAGTGATTTCACAGTGGCTGTCAAAAGGAGCCAGGCAGCTGATCACTATACCTTATTATGACTCCTTGCAGATCAATTTGAGATATTGAGTACGCCCGGAATGTGAGACTTGTGTGACTCAGGTTATTGTTATGGAGGTGTACTTTTTCCCTCTTTCTGTTGTGTTTCAGGTTGTACCTGAGTCTCGTGCTGGGAAATGTGAATGTCACTCTGCTGAGCAAGCATGCCAAGTAGGTGCTAATTGATTATAGTTTATCTCCTTGCTGAGATGTTTTACAGATTAGGAATCCTCTCTTAAATTTCAGAATATGCAGATGAAGTTTCTCAGTGTGCTAGGCCACAAACAATCAAACAACCCAAGATTAATGAGCCATGATGGTGTAGTGGTTGGAATGCAGTACTGAAGGCTATTTCTGCTGACTGCCAACTGTCATCAGTTCGATTCTTACTGGCTCAAGGTTGACTCAGCCTTCCATCCTTCCAAGGTCGTTAAAATGAGGACCCAGATGGTTGGGAGCAATAGGCTGACTCTGTAAACTGCTTAGAGAGGGTTGTAAAGGACTGTGAAGTGGTATATAAGTCTAAATGCTTATTGGTATGAAACTGAGTGTTGTGCGTTATATGTATTTGACTCAACTTACAACAGCAGTTGGGACTGGGACTGCTATCATTAAGTGACACAGTTGTAAATCAGAACATTACATGACCCCGTTGTTTAGTGATGATCAGCTGTTGCTGTCATTAAGTGAGGACTGTATGGGTCATTAAGTGAAGTCTTCATGTGACTGTCACTTCCTGCCAGCTCCCCCAGTGTCTTTGCTTTGGGGAAGTTGGCAGGGAACATCGTAAGTCTCAATCGTTCAATTGGGAGGACGGTGCAACAGTCAGAACTGTGAGGACCCATTGTAAATACCATTTGTTCAACGCCATTGTAAACTGAGGTCTATACAGAATCAGATTAATCATAAACAGCGGCACAAAACAATGCTTGGCGAAACACAGGTACATTCTTGAAATAAAAAACAACTATTCTAAGTATAATTTAATTGATTTAATTAATCCTCCAGAGAGGGTATTTCATTCCATTCGATTCTAACAATTCTTATCCCTGACTATGGAGATTCTCAGTCATCCAAGCCATGGTTGTCCCAAAGGTGCTTTTTTCAAGAGGCAACTAAACTTTCTGTTTTTTCTTTGAAGACGTTTCGTTTCTCATCCAAGAAGCTTCTTCAGCTCTGGCTCAAGGGTCCATTCCCCATCATCCAGCAAGAGTTGAAGAAGCTTCTTGGATGAGAAACGAAACTTCTTCAAGGAAAAACCAGAAAGTCCTGTTGCCTCTTGAAAAAAGCACCTTTGGGACAACTCTTGTTCCTGCTTTTCCTTAATAAAGCCAGACGCCACATAAGAGAAGTATTTTTGATGCTCGTTGCTGGCTAGGCTCACATAAGAGTAAAGTGTTCCTTAAAACATCAGCGTCCCAAGCTCCAAAGAGCTTTCAAATCAAATCAATATTTATTATAGTCATAGATTGCCATACAGGTAGTCTGCATTTAACAAACAGGTATTTCACAGCTGTTCAAAGTTATGATGGCCACGGAATAGGGCTCTTTGCTGCTCGTAAAGCATCTCCAGCTATGACTGCCCCAACAAAGAACATGAATTGTGGTCACACAACTGCAAGCCAGCTTTATGATTCCTGGCATTCTGCTATCACACGACTGTGATTCATAATATTTTTGCTGGTTTCCAGCCAAAAAAACCTCCCATTTAAATGAATGGGTTTGCTGAACAACCATGGCATTTGCTTGACTGAACCATTCACTTAACCACTGCAAAAAAAAAAAAAAAAAGGCTGGAAAATTACTTTTACTTGGGTGCCTCGACTTACAACCATAGTGACTTTTGTCTGTAATTCTGGACTCCGTTGCAGGCATATGTTGAGGACTCCCTGTAGATAAAGAGCTTGAGAAGTAGTTCTCCATCCTTCAGATTATGTTGAAACTCCACTTCTTAGGGTTGGGATCAGTGGTGGGATTCAAATTTTTTTACCACCGGTTCTGTGGGTGTGGCTTGGTGGGCATGGCAGGGGAAGGACATTACAAAATCCCAATTTCCTCCCAATCAGCTGGGACTCGGGAGGCAGAGAATAGATGGGGACGAGGCCAGTCAGAGGTGGTATTTACCGGTTCTTCGAACTACTCAAAATTTCCACTCCAGAACTGGTCAGGACCTGCTGAATACCACCTCTGGTTGGGATTTGGGGAGTTACAGTCACAAGATACTTGGAAGATAGCAATAGCAATAGCAGTAGACTTATATACCGCTTCATAGNTTACTGGCTCAAGGTTGACTCAGCCTTCCATCCTTCCAAGGTCGTTAAAATGAGGACCCAGATGGTTGGGAGCAATAGGCTGACTCTGTAAACTGCTTAGAGAGGGTTGTAAAGGACTGTGAAGTGGTATATAAGTCTAAATGCTTATTGGTATGAAACTGAGTGTTGTGCGTTATATGTATTTGACTCAACTTACAACAGCAGTTGGGACTGGGACTGCTATCATTAAGTGACACAGTTGTAAATCAGAACATTACATGACCCCGTTGTTTAGTGATGATCAGCTGTTGCTGTCATTAAGTGAGGACTGTATGGGTCATTAAGTGAAGTCTTCATGTGACTGTCACTTCCTGCCAGCTCCCCCAGTGTCTTTGCTTTGGGGAAGTTGGCAGGGAACATCGTAAGTCTCAATCGTTCAATTGGGAGGACGGTGCAACAGTCAGAACTGTGAGGACCCATTGTAAATACCATTTGTTCAACGCCATTGTAAACTGAGGTCTATACAGAATCAGATTAATCATAAACAGCGGCACAAAACAATGCTTGGCGAAACACAGGTACATTCTTGAAATAAAAAACAACTATTCTAAGTATAATTTAATTGATTTAATTAATCCTCCAGAGAGGGTATTTCATTCCATTCGATTCTAACAATTCTTATCCCTGACTATGGAGATTCTCAGTCATCCAAGCCATGGTTGTCCCAAAGGTGCTTTTTTCAAGAGGCAACTAAACTTTCTGTTTTTTCTTTGAAGACGTTTCGTTTCTCATCCAAGAAGCTTCTTCAGCTCTGGCTCAAGGGTCCATTCCCCATCATCCAGCAAGAGTTGAAGAAGCTTCTTGGATGAGAAACGAAACTTCTTCAAGGAAAAACCAGAAAGTCCTGTTGCCTCTTGAAAAAAGCACCTTTGGGACAACTCTTGTTCCTGCTTTTCCTTAATAAAGCCAGACGCCACATAAGAGAAGTATTTTTGATGCTCGTTGCTGGCTAGGCTCACATAAGAGTAAAGTGTTCCTTAAAACATCAGCGTCCCAAGCTCCAAAGAGCTTTCAAATCAAATCAATATTTATTATAGTCATAGATTGCCATACAGGTAGTCTGCATTTAACAAACAGGTATTTCACAGCTGTTCAAAGTTATGATGGCCACGGAATAGGGCTCTTTGCTGCTCGTAAAGCATCTCCAGCTATGACTGCCCCAACAAAGAACATGAATTGTGGTCACACAACTGCAAGCCAGCTTTATGATTCCTGGCATTCTGCTATCACACGACTGTGATTCATAATATTTTTGCTGGTTTCCAGCCAAAAAAACCTCCCATTTAAATGAATGGGTTTGCTGAACAACCATGGCATTTGCTTGACTGAACCATTCACTTAACCACTGCAAAAAAAAAAAAAAAGGCTGGAAAATTACTTTTACTTGGGTGCCTCGACTTACAACCATAGTGACTTTTGTCTGTAATTCTGGACTCCGTTGCAGGCATATGTTGAGGACTCCCTGTAGATAAAGAGCTTGAGAAGTAGTTCTCCATCCTTCAGATTATGTTGAAACTCCACTTCTTAGGGTTGGGATCAGTGGTGGGATTCAAATTTTTTTACCACCGGTTCTGTGGGTGTGGCTTGGTGGGCATGGCAGGGGAAGGACATTACAAAATCCCAATTTCCTCCCAATCAGCTGGGACTCGGGAGGCAGAGAATAGATGGGGACGAGGCCAGTCAGAGGTGGTATTTACCGGTTCTTCGAACTACTCAAAATTTCCACTCCAGAACTGGTCAGGACCTGCTGAATACCACCTCTGGTTGGGATTTGGGGAGTTACAGTCACAAGATACTTGGAAGATAGCAATAGCAATAGCAGTAGACTTATATACCGCTTCATAGGCCTTTCAGGCCTCTCTAAGCGGTTTACAGAGAGTCAGCATATTGCCCCCAACAATC